GATGGAGGCAGTATGACCTCTGAAACGTTGGTTAACATCGACCGGACTACACAGCGCAACAACCCAGAAGACGGAAATCTTCATACTCACTGCTCTGAGAACGTCAAGTCTTACAATAAGTGATTTCAGAATTTATTCTTCTGTGTTAAGGTCAAAAGTTTCTACAGGATCTGAACCTGCATCATCAATGATAAATGTGCGTATACACAGAAGGGCATTAAAAGCGAAAATAAAAGTATGTATTTGATCGCAACTGCTCAACAGAATTTTATGGAAAAAATTAGTATGAACTTTTTAGCAACACTCATATTTGCTAAGCACATTACCTATCAGTCATCCTTTTTTTTCTGTATTTGAGAGGTTCAGGAGGGTGGGATATTATTTTGGCCAATGGCTATGGCAGAAACATATCAAACTTCACAGTTATCACAGAATCAAAGATTATCATGCTATAATATTGCAAAGTCAAAGATAACAGAAAAAGGGTTAAGAAATAATAACTCTTGCAAGAAAATTCTCTTATTTGCAAGTATTCCTTACCATTTCAAAAAATTGTTTTTAAATTATTAAGATATTTTATATTAAAATACATGTGAAAATGAAGTAGCTATTTTGGGAAAAAAAAGTTGTCAAGACAAATTACAACTTTTGAATTGAAATTAATATAGAGTGAGTCAAAAGTACGTAAGTCAAAGTGAATCCAACTTCCAGCACAGATTTTCATTTAACATTTGAGCAGGAATTGTTGTCGACATGCTTACTGGTCCACACATGCTTCCATCGCGTCTAAGAGGACCGTCATATCGGCGATTCTTAAGAAGACATTTGCCACGTCTCCCCGAAGACGTACCATTGAATACAAGAAGACAAATGTGGTTTATACATGACAGAACCCCAGCACACTTCTCCTCAGTGACAGACTGGACTCGGTGGCCCAGGAGCATATTAATAAGAAATCAATCAATATATCTTTCATTGTTTAGTTGGTATATTGGTATTCCTCTATCTGCCTACATTTCATAAAAAGAGAGAGAAAAATATATCTGCCTTTCAGCAAATTCTTACACCAAGTACAGGGTCTACAATTTATGAGGCTACGGTCGTGCTTGGATTGCGTGGCAATTTCCCAAGAAGAGCTTTGTCGAGTATGTCGAAACATGTTAACGAGATGTGAAGCTTGCCTGCAAGCACAAGGAAGTCACTTTGAACATCTTTTTGAGATTTAAGGTAAGAACAATTAATGTAATAACATGCATTAGTGACGAGAAATATTCATAGTTTGCTGTTACTAGCAGCACTGAAACTGATTCCCCGGTCACCCACCGGAAGAACGCGCACAACTCCCGCCCACAATAACAGAGCGCTGGCTGACCACGCAATCCAAGCACGACCGCAGCCTCATAAATTGTAGACCTGGTACAATTAAATTCACATATGACAAGACAAAGATCCCCAAAATCAAACAATAATCATCACGTGTCATCGTCTCCCCATTCAACTACAGTGCGGTATCAAACAAGAGCAGAAAAGGATTCTCAATGTACTTCTTCCACGTATTTGAGAATCTTGCCAGAGTTGCACCATCAATGACTCTATGATCAGCTGTCCAACTTACACATATCACTTCAGCTTTGATCAAGTTCCCGGACTGGTCATATCGAGGAACAACCTGCAAACAGACTTGTACACGGTAACACCACCGACAATCAAGCAAGCAACAGGTGCTGGAAACACAAACAGTAAACTCTTCACATAACAATATTAAAAAGGAATTCAATGCACCTACTTAACATGCATTTACTCAATTTTTCAATGTACAAAAATTAAAGTTTTTCACAACTATCACAGATGTGAATCCAATATTGCATATTAATACACTGAACATATTTAGCACCAGGAATTAGAAATGCGGAAATAAGATTCTGTAACACTACCAATCACATATGTAGCAGCAAATGTTTATTTAGTTTTCATTTATAGCCAAATGGTAACTATATATCATACGTGCAACAATAATCAATGACTATTCATTTTGTATTTACAGATTTTGTAATATTCACACTGCAAATGGTTGAATTCCTTAAACAGCATTAACCACCTGATCATTCTGATCGTGAATGGTGGTGGTTTTTTTTGAGGTACAGACTGAATTCTTAAATATCATTATTAAAGTGAGATCTCGCTTTAAAGAGTAAGTAACACTTTCAAGCACTCAAATAATACCATGCAATGTCAAATGACAGGATAACTAGCGGATATTTGGAGAGGGTGTGTAAGGAAACAGTCGTAAGCAATTTTAAAAGACGTTAATGGTGATGATGAAGAAACGTGAGTATTTTTGTGTTAAATGTCCTAGTTTGATTGGCAATTAATATGTTTCTTTTTCAGTTAACTGACCATGCTGTGTAACTCAGTAAAAGTAAAGGTGTCTCGCTACACGCCATGTAGGTGTTTGGGGGGAGTGGAGGTACAGCTCCAACTCTTTCTTGACCTGGGCACTAGATGGGGGTGAGGTGGTCAGCATCACGCCCCTGCCGCGCTGTGTAACTCAGTGCCAATGTTATAATGAATTCTTCTTGAGCCATCAGCCATGTAAGGTGGTTTAATGAAGAAAACCACCTTACATGACTGATAGCATGAGAAGAATTCATTAAATATTTTCTACACAACTTAAGGCATGATCATGGTAAATGTTTTGGGCAGGGGGAACTATACTGCATTATTCATGTGTTTCTAAAACCTTTTATTCTGCCATAAAAAGAACATATAAGTCTACATTTATTCTGCCATTAACAATTATTATAACCAAATGACAAAAAAAAAACTGAATTTGCAACTAAAACCAAAAATCCCTAAAGTCAAGCTACCAGTAAAGGTGACAACACATTCCTTATTTATGTCAACATGCATGGAAATCAGCAAGGACACTACTTGACTGAGCCAAAAATTAAAATTAATTATGAAAAAAATTTCCAATGAAAAATTAAAGAGGGAAAGGGCAGGGAAATGTAACAGAATCCTACTGCCTCGGATTTAACTTGGCAGAAAATCCGGCATGAAAAGTGTAGCAAAGGGGCACTGTAGGACGAGTGAAAGATGCACAGTAATTCAAATAATCTTTCAAGAAACTCAGAGTGTGACAAGCAGTCGTCAAATCCACACTGTGAAGAAGTGAGATCTATGGCAACAGGTACTCGCTATGATGGGAGTTCCTTACATAATCTACTCTCATGTACGTTTAAACACAAAATTTGGGCAAAACTGTGCTGTATTTATACCACTTATGTTATTCAAAATGATGTTACCTGAATTTTTCCAAGTGCACCAATTGCAACTTGAGATGGCAAAATTAATGGTTTTGTGTATGTTCCACCAATCTGAAACAAAAATTATTAACTTGTATGCATTTAAATTGCATTATTTTATACATCTGCAATGCAATATGTTTAGAGGGAAAATCTCTGATCTGAACAGCACAAACTTGTATTGTCCCAACACGGTTATTTGAAATTCAAGTGTTTGCACATCAGCTTAATATTTGTGTACAAATTTTTGTACGGCATTTAACTCTATCGCACAAAATTGTAAAGTACATATTGCAATAACGAGTGAGAATGGACACATTCAAATCATACCGGAACACTAGAGAATTAATCGATAATCCCTTGCCAATGCCAATGTCACGATATTGTAGAAAATCTTCTTGATCTCAATGTATTCGTAATTTAAAAGCAATGACTGTGTTGCCAAAATATGAGCTCCTTTGCAACGCCTGACCAGCAAATTTTAAGAAACATACTCTCTTCAAGGTAAAGCTGTATAGCAATGAACTTTGGGTAAAATAAGAGGCGGAGAATTTCTACATTCCCGGAGACTACAGTAAATCTCAGTAGAATGAAAGCCACTACAATAACATTTCAAAACAATAAAAATTCTGTTCATCTGCTACCAAATTACCATACACTCTTATGCATAAATATTTCACAACAAATATAAGAAAATTAAATTTCAGTGTAACGCAGCAAAACACCGCCCCTGTTTAAAAAAGTGTTCAGTTTTACAAATTTAATTTTAAAGACTATACAACATCAAGTGAGAGGGTGAGATTAGTGAAAAATGATTTGAAAATAGTGTGGAAGGAAGTCATAGCCTAATATCAGGTACTAACGATCCTGGCATTCGCCTGGACAGACTAAGAAAAACCTACATTGGACCAGTGTCATTTCACAGCTGCCCTGAAGATGACAGCAGAGATGGCTCTTGAAACTTTGGCGGAAGCCATGGTTCATTCACCATTCAGCCACCTGACACAGCTTGTTACCTGAGAGTCTTTCATCAATTAAGAAAAACCTGTTAGTTTCTAAGCCAAGATTTCAACCAAGAACCTCCAAAATACAAAGCAGAAGTGCTAATCGCCGTGCTACGACATTGAGAACACAACCATGAAAATGTCAGGTCATTCTTATTCATGTTGTAATAGCAGGGTAAACTACTGTTTTCACTTGAGAGCATCACTGGAACCATGACGTTCCACAAAAATGCACTACCTTCACAAAACCAATATATATTATGTCTTCAGTTACTTTTCAACGCCTTTCATTATTGCATATTTTATTCATCAATCCACATAAGTTTGTTACCCTGAGATTTTATTGTATGAACTGAAAAATAAGCACCATGTCCATGAGCTTGGCTCGTTACTTAAAAGAGCAAACACCACAAGTATTAAAGAACACTTACTGCACCAATGTTAGACAAGCTGAAAGTACCACCAGTCAGATCCCCTTGACGTAAAGCTCCCTTTTTCCCCAGTTCTTGTAATCGATTCAATTCCATAGCAACCTCCAAAAGGCTAAGTGCTTGAACATTCTTTATGTTTGGGACTACTAGCCCATACAATGTGTCCATCGCTACTCCAATGTTGTGTGATCTTCTGAACGTAAGATTTTCACATGATTCATCCACGTTTACATTTAAAACTGGAAAATTTTCAAGAGCTTTGGATGCAGCTTTGATGAAAAATGGCATATACGTCAGTTTTATGCCTCTTGAACTTGCAATCTCCTTCATATGTGACAATAATTCCGTAAGTTTCATTGCGAAGATTTCGTCACTATATACAAATTGAGGAATCTTCTGAAAGAGAATAGGGCGAGCTTATATGAATACTCTCATGTAATACACACACACACAGGTAAGTCATCTAAGTTTCCAGAGCCTTCCAGATATCAAAACACAATAATAATTTCAATATTAGAGCTTTACAACAACAAATCAGAGTAAAAATAAGGATATACTGTTCAACGCTCGACTTTTTCACATTTTGTAAACTGTACACTGACGACTGAAGCCATACCATTTTCATCACTCATGTAAACGGTATCTGTACAGCATACAATGGCTTCTTCCTACCCTGCCCTCCTCCACTAGCCCACTTTAGTTCAGATTGTCTCTGAGGACACTGCGGCTAATTGGCACTCCTTACCCAAGCACCAATGCCACCTCAGCCTAAAACCATCACTCAATTCCACCTCATGCTGACAATGTTATACGCACAGAACTTTTCCTTAATATTTTACTTTCACCAAATTGGTAGTCAACTTACAAGTAACGCCAATCTGCAACCACTGTCAGACTGCGCATAATCATAAAATTGATATACAGTAAAACCTCTCTGAGTTGGACATTTGGGGTTCTACGAAAATGTGTCCAT